TGTCAGCACAACAACGCAACTGATGTTATTTATTTTCCTTCAACAACAAAAGCATGTGGTTTCATTTATTTAAAAGGAGCAGGTTTGGCTTTGCAATCCTACACAAAGCAAACAGTGGCCTCCTGGGTGGAAGTCTGTGGTTGTTGGACTCATCCACCACCCAACCTGCCTGCCTTTCTCAGACTTCTGCCGCCTTAACTTTAGTTGTTGTCCCGCTACGTTTCACCCTGATGCTGCCGGGCGCTGTTAAACAATAATCGTGACCAGCCGCATATCATGCCGATATGAAAGGACGGCTTTTTTCGTCTATGTCTGATGCCGGAAGTCATTGACCAAGTGCTGGATTTTGCAGACTTTGGAGTGAAACCAAATCATCCTGGTTCAGAATTCAACTCTTTGCCTTTTTCTTACAATCAAGAAACCCTCAGCTCATCACAATATATTTCAGTAGTTCAATGAAATTTAAAAAAAAAAATTGCAAAATATGCACTCAATGTTTTTATTTTCATGTGACAGAATTAAGAATTAAATGCTCAAATAACAACAACAAAAAATATGTTTAACTGACATAAACTTCCTGTCAGACGGGGGTCATGTGACACATTTGTTTTGTGTCTGGTGAACTAAAAACTTTTATGTTATTGTGTTGTAATAAACTAAAACTTTGGAGTGTTATCTGTTTCTGAAAAAATAAGTTGAGTGAGTGAATCGGGGTTTACAGTGTGATTTTTATGCAGCAATTAAATTGGAAAGCAGCGGTTTGTAACTTTTACTCCAGAAAGGGACCATACACATGCTGAGTTGTTGGTCTTTACTCTGTTAGGTGTGGCACTGAACACAGATCAAAATATCCAAATGAAAACCTGTTTCAAAGATGCTGCTGTCGACTCACAGAGGACGCCACATCACATGGTTTCTGACCTGAAGGTGAATATTAGCAGTGTTTTTAAACAATTATGAGAAACATTATTTTCATACTGTATAAACAGCCTCCAAGATTCAAAAGTGAGAAAAAGTAAATGTTATCATCTGTCGTCAGAGTCAGATTATGTGATATAGAAAGAGCCGTCAACATGTCAGACACAACATGAAGAGGGTGAATCATTGTTCATAGCTTAAAGGGATCTATGTGAACTTTTCATTGTGGCAGTTTAGATTATGATTAGACTACCAAATACATGTAAATGAGTCTGTCAGCGCAGTCATAGAACAAGTTCATATGAACTGCTGATTTGGTCCCAGCTGCTGTGACGTTCTCAGTTTGGAGGACAGTGATGGAAAATCTGTGATGATCAAAACCAGAATGACCTCTCTGACCTCAAAAAAGTGATGTCAGCTCTTTGAAAAACAACAGAGTGAAATAAATCCACTCTAAATTAAACCTACAATGATAAGTATACACAGCATGATGAAGGCTTGGACTCATCCCAGGCTGATGATGATGATGGTTAATATCAGGTAAATGCAGTTAATAATCAAACACAGCAGACACAAACTAAGAGCTGATAATCTGTACACAGTGAAAACATGTGATTTCTTGTCAGATGCATATTTACCAACACACAGGATATGATGAAACTATCACATGTGAGACGTTTTGCTCAGCGGACATGAGACTGATCAGAATCCCTGACTGTCACAGAGGGAGTGTTAGCATTTACAGCTGTAATACAGTAACTAAGGCAACAGTGAGTAAACTGTAGTAGTACAAGTACAGTTCAGACAAGAGGGACATATTTCAGAGTGAACTATAATTTATCATAAAATGCACAACATGATGAATGTAACAAGCTCTATAGCGATTAGACCCCATTGTAGAGAAGCCGTGGTTAATTTAGAGATATTCCCCCGATGGAGTCTAGACACTGGTGGTGGAGGTGAAGAGAGGGAGAGGGATGGCTGAAGGATGATGGGATGGGAAGATGAGCAGGGCTGGGCAGTGGAGGTGGACGGGGTGGAGAAAGGTCACATCTGTTCAACCTAGTTCGACCTAGCCTGACCAGGGACAAAGACTGCAAATTAGCTGAAGATAGACATCTTATATGCATCATATTTTCCCATTTTTTTGTGAAAATGTTGTATGTATTGTCCCTGTTAAATAAACATTAAATGAAAATGAATAAATAAATAAATACATGGACAACTGACGGCAGCAGAGAGGAGAAGAATGTTTAAATACTTGATAGCAACGACATGATTGGCTTCGGGAGATCGTGGCATATTTTTGTTGGATTAACTTTGGGTGACGCCCTGAGTCATCTGATGGAGTAGAAGCTGGAGAGGAGCAGAAAAAATTGTGAATGAATAAGAGTGTAAAGAGAGTCTTCCTGACTGAACTTTGGCTAAGCTTCATTAGTACAGTGCCAGGAGTGGCAGTGAGAGACATGTGCCCAACCCTCAGGGGTTTTCTAGACACCACTACAATATTGTTCCATTGATTAATCCAATATACATGTAGTAGTTGTGGTAGAAAAAAATACTACTAATAGCAGCAGCAGAATTAACAAACACAGTAGTCCTCTCAGCTGCACAAGTGTTGGCATAACAATGACATTAATACTATCTACCACACAGTGACAGCAGTGATATCAGCTGATAGGTGATAGTTTCACCAACAGACAGCAACAGCAATAGTGGAAGCATCAGCAGTAGTGATGTTAATACAGGCATCTCTGTGGTCATAGCAGTCGTAGATTGTATCACTCTATTATCACAGCTCAGTCACCTGGAGAAAATGTTGGCATTGTACGTTTTTACAAATATATAACATTTGCACATTTCATGTGTATCATAATAATGTTTCCAAAGTGACAGAGTATTATCTGACTTTGTGATCTCTGCACGTCTCTGCTTTTTGCAGATGATGTAGTTCTGTTGGCTTCATCCTGTATGTACTGAGGCAGTTTGCAGCCAAGTGTGAAGCAGTCAGGATGAGAGTCAGCAACTTCAAATCTGAGGCAATGGTTCTCTGCTGGAAAAGGATGGATTGTCCCTTCTGGGCAGAGAAAAAGTTATCGCCCCAAGCAATGGAGTTCAAGTATCTCAGGGTGTTGCGGCGTCTGCAGTGAGTTACCACCATCGTGGTGAAGAGGGAGCTGAGCCAGGAGGCAAATATTTCAATTTACCAGTCCATCTACATCCCATTATTTATTATTTTTGGAGGTAAAAGGTTATACCCTAAAGATTTATGTAAAATTAAAACTGAGTCTACAGAGATGCCTAGAGTTACATCCACTAGATTCTTGGGAATTATTGTTGATGAAAACTTAAAATGGAAAGATCAAGCAGACTGGGTTAGCAAAAAAGTGAATAAATCAATTGGGATAATAAGGAGGGTTAGTCATCTCGTCTCCAGAAACTGCCTCCTCACTTTTTACTATAGTTTGATTTATCCATTTCTCTCCTACTGTTATATAGTTTGGGCAAGAACATTTCCTTCTACCCTTCACAGAATTCTGCTCCTTCAACCCGTTCTGAATCGTATGCTGCATCCACTCCTTTATTCAAAGGACTTGGAATCCTTACTATTTATGACATCAATATACTTCAAATCTGTGTTTTTATTTATGAGATATATAAAGGCAAAGGAAATATTCCTGAGCGCTTTATGTGCTATTTTAAAGCAAATTCACAGGTTCATTCTTATGCAACTAGGCAAGCTGCAGATCTTCACCCTCTTTGTGTTATAGGGGTGCTAAACTATGGAATAACTTCTCACATCTGGCATTGAAATGTTATACTATTAAACATTTTAGAAGATGTTTAAAGGCACTTTAATTGCTGGTTTATAGCTGGTTCTCTATAGCACTTTTGTCTTCGTTTGCTTACATGCTCATTCTTTGAATTTTTTATTATTTAATATTTCTTTCATTACTTAAATGTGCACTATTTTAAATGGGTTACTTGATTTTTTGTTGTTGTTGTTTTGTGTTTTGTGTTTGTTTGTTTGTTTGTTTGTTTGTTTAAATTTAATCTAGTGGTTTATTTTCATTCTTTAGGTAGAGGCTTTATATAAGCCTGTTTGTGCTTTCTGCCTCTCCCTGCACTGATCTTTTTTGGTCATTTCTTTGTATTTATATCTTTTATAAAGTGCTAAATAAATAAATGTAAATCTGAAAATTTAACCCTCAGCTGTCGTCATGAGCTTTGGGTAGTGACCCCCTGGGTACCTTGCGTTAGAGATGTTCCAGGCATGTCCCACTGGTAGGAGGCTCCGGGGCAGACCCAGAACACGCTGGAGGGATTGCATATGTCATCTGACCTGGGAACATCTCGGGGTCCTCCAGGAGGAGCTGGAAAGTGTTGCTGGGGAGAGGGACGTCTGGAATACTTTGCTTAGCCTGCTGCTATGGCCCTAGATAAGAGCATGAAAATGGATGGATGGACGATATATACAGTAACATATCAAAAGACACCATCCTGCCCAAGAAGTACATTTTGCTGTTATACTTTTGTACTTTCACGTAAGTGAAATCTTGAATGTAGGATTTGTACTTGTCACAGATTATTTTTTATAGAATATTGCTACTTTTACTTGAGTAAAATAATACTTCTTCCACCACTGACTGTAGATAAAGTGAGTGTCTGTCTGTTTAGAGGAGACAAAGACAGATAAAAAGGGTGTGTGTGCGAATTGAGCACCACTTAGGATAATAGCAGGTATTTAGTGCTGCAGGACATTGCAACAGGGTAATAGCTGTAGTAAATAGTGGTATCAGTGGAGCACAGAGCATCGCTGAAATACATTTAACCCTGCTGTTGATAAATGTATACTGTGTGCAGGCGAGTGAGTGCAACAGGTAGAGATGCTGTGCAGGCCTGCAGGTCTACCAGCAGAGCCTCAGGTCATGTTCCATCGACCCACAGCTCATCTTTGTATAGGAAAGTGTCTTATGCAATCTCAGCAAAGTGATTTACGAGACCTTTCTGGCTCTCAGCTGCAAATCCCAAACCACACTCATCTCCTGTGACAGAGGAAGAAACCACACAGAGAAATTACCTGGAGGAAAAAATGTCTTTATTTTTGGTCAAGAAGAACTCGTCTGAGTTTGTTAAAGCAAAAGTTTGAATGTTTCCACAAAGCAACAGTTAAAAAAGATCCAGAAAATACAAAGCAATAAAATAAAAGACATGTTTTTACTGCAGGTGTCACATAATGATTTATTTGTCTAAATGTAAATAACTTTTGAATAATATCTGGGGCTGATTAACGCCTGATGGTTTTGCTGAGGAGAGAAGACGCTTCATCTACACACCTGCGTTTTTCACTATTGCACAACCCTACCTTGAGTCTCCTCTAAGAGTTGTAAAAACTAAACACAAGCGTACTGGCTGGCAGCTCGTCAGCAGTCTAACATCCGTGAAAGGATTAAAAAGCTCTGACAGAAGTGCTGCCTTCAGTTGTCAGCTGGAAACAAAACATCACGTCATACAGTGTCTATCTTCTGTTGTGTCAGAGGGCTGATTCGCTCGGTTTACAAGTTCAGCAGGTGAGCTTGCTAAGCTTGCAGTGCAAAGTTGAGTAACAAGTTTAAATATTTGAAAAGGTAAATGTTGTTTGACGCTATAATCCACCTCACGTGCTTCTTTTTTTCTAGAAAATCTGTATAACTGCCCAAAACAAACTGCATGCTGTAACTGTAACAGGCTTATTGGTTCATATGCCCACTTTGTGACAATCTGACTGTGATCATTTCACCTATTGGAATCGCACTTTACTACTTTACTAGGGTAGTTTGTTCTGTTCTCTGGGGGGAATTCTCCGGTGCAACACACTGAGCCATGACCAGGCACCAGAAGAAAATGTCGGCATTACCTGTTTCTGCAAACCACGAATACATTTGCATGTTTCATATCTATCATATTGTTTCTAAGGTGACATGGTACATGAGCTGCCATTGTGGTTGGTAGATGGAGGGGAGAGATGTGGTGTGTCACGTATGGTGATGGCTGCCAAGCTGCAGACCACTGTTTGAGATCAACTAACGATAAAGCTGGGTGTTTTTTCCATTGCAGTCATTGCTGTGTTTGCGTCGACCTTTCAGGCTCAAAAGATAGTTGTTTTGTAGCCGTCTGTCTTAGCTGTCAGCGTTTTTCCATCAGCTTTTTAAGCTTCCAGTTTTGGGTGTTTTGGAGTGATCCATTAGCGGGGATAGTGTCATGCAAAGCGGTTGTGTTGTACCGAGACACCCCTGCTTTTCTAGCTGGCATTGTACACCTCAAATTGGATATTTTCAGCCCAAACGTGATGTTTTCCTAACCATGACTAAGTGTTTTTGGGCCTAAACCTAATGACATGTTAACCACAGCATTGCTGAAACTTAAAGGTCCACTACATAATAACGTGCAAATGTATATATCCATGGTTTGCAGAAACATTAAAAGCCAACATGTTTTCTGGTGATTGGGTTGATTTAGCCATGACGAGTTGTGCCTTAACACGTTTTATATCAACAATGGATCAGATGAGTTTATATCGTTAAATGTGTCACTTGCGGTGATGAATCCACAGAGAATTATCAGCCATGCCCGTAGCTGACCCTTCTTATTCCCAAGGTGTCAAAAAATAGATGCTTTGTCATGCAGGGGTTCCCATACATTCATTTGTTTGTGGCGGCCCATCATGATTAAAACATCTACAGCAACATATAGACTTTGTATTTTTGGAGCTGGACTAGGAGCTGGATTAGGAAAATTATTGAGATATATATACATTACAGTTATTTATACATGTAGCACCACACTGTTGGAGCACAGAGTTTACTCAGGGCAGAGGTGGAGCAGTAGAATGTCAGGCGCATTAAAAGTAATACTGAACAGTTCAATCTGCTGGGTGTAAAAGTTTGCATTCACTCGCAGCAGCTGCTCCTCTCATCCATCGATCTGATCTGATCAGGTCTGAATGGACCAACAGATCAATTATTTGACTCATGAATCACAAACTACTGCTACAGAGGAAGATCAGGCAGAAAATTACTCTTGAAGAGCTCCATCTGTGCTGCATTCACAGACCGAAAAAAATTTAGAGAGGGGACAGAATGATAGATGCGACACACGGGTACTGTATATATAAAAAAACAAACAAAAAAACCTCAGCGACCCTGTTTTAAGAAGCAGCAGGCAGCTGTTTTCAGAAAGGAAGCTCTGGTAAACCTACTGCACACTACCTGCACAGCACCAACTGCAAAGTTGGCAACTAGCTTCTGATAAAAGTAGCCAGCCTCTTCGCAAGAGAAAATGTTGGCAATGTATGTTTCTGCAAACCACCCATACGTTACATCTGCAAATTTCATATTAACGTTTCTAAAGTGACGTAGTACATACAGTATGCTGACTTTATCACTGGGAGGTGAAGGAAAGCTGCAGACCACTGACGACCACTGTTCAAGACAAATAACAAAACCTGATGTAGTCACTGCTATGTTTCCAGTGGCTTTTAGGCACCAGACGTGGGTATTTTGTAGCACCCTGTCTCTTTTTTTACCAATGGCATTTAAGGTGTCAACCGCTGGTATATGGTAGCGATTTGTCACTGCTTCTCCAGCAGGGATTGTGCCCCCCAGAACCAGGTATTTTAAGCAAAAACACGATCTTTTCCTGTGCCTAAATCTAACCACACGTTAACCACAGCCTTGTTGAAATGTAAAGTTTCAACATATCCACTACATGAAATGAATATGAACATACAAATATAACGTATTCCTAGTTCACAGAAACGTCCAGTGGGATGACTGGACTTTAGTGGCACATCTAGTAGCTAAACAGATTTTTCGGGAGTAAAAAGGATGACAAAAGAACTCCAACATGTTGTGTCTGTTTATCAGAGGTGTGTGTCTGTGTGTAAGTATGTACCTGACACTCAGCTCCATAACTCTGACACTGATTCCCTCTATATCAACCTCTAAAGTTTAGACTGTGCAGCTCATAGCAAGAGGGAACTGTGCAGGCTTGTACCTTAAACTCAACTTTATCAAATCCACTGCAAAGAAAAGGTAAAATCGTGTTGCTGTTTGAACTCTTTCTCTCTGCAGAAATATTCCAAAACCCAGCCTGCTAACTGCAGCGCTGTAGCATAAAAACAACCTCTAAATTAAATATGCATGTACCGGAGTCTCAGCTCAACCGAGGCTTCAACCAAACACAGTACGCAATGTGGAACGCCTTCATCACATGACAGTTAGGCAGGTCCTCTCATTTCAGACGCCGCCAAATGTTGAGAAGTTATCGTTGCATAAAAAATAAATTAAAAATCCACCCCTCTGATGAAATCCAACCCTTTTTTGACGTAGTTCAATTACATATTAAAATAACTCTTAGGGCCATAGAAAAGCAAATGCCCAATATTATTGCCAATGCACTGTGAAATCAACACAGCAGATGAAAGTCTAAATAAGCCTGAAAATGTGCAACAAGCTGCATCTTAGCATTTAATAACCATAAGAACTACTCAGACGCTGATTCAGTTCATTACATTCAACTTCTAGCTGAATTATTTGCAATATATACAATATATGAAAAAGCAGAAATATTACATCTCTCAGCAACTCAGCAGTATGTTTGCCTTAACAACAACAACAACAACGGAGACGTCACACTGATGCCTCGGCTCTCTCAGCCACAACGTAATGGAATGACAAGAATTTTTTTGGTCACAATCAGCAAAACAACATTCTTGGTGGCGCTCATGAGCTTTTCATAAAGGTCTTACTTTTCTAGTGATGTGACAACTAAACCCTAAACACCCACCTGCATGGATTTGATTTGCAGCTTAAATAACTTCAAGGTTAATAATAACTGGTAAAATTGCCTGAAAAGTGAAAGTCTTTTTTTAGATCTCTGGGTGATGTATGAACACATTTTATGAATATATGTCAGTGTATATAAAGTCATAACTAAACGTGAAACATCTCTCCTTAAACGTTACATAGATGTCTCTTTTTTAAGATATTTTCCCTGCGAGTGATCCAGATTCATGCTCACTGCTTACTAAGCCTTTTTTAAATTCACTGTTGTATGTATTTATAGTCCTTAGTGCAGGACTCTCTTCAGGATTTCACATTTGTCTTTATAAAGAGCTCATGTTTTCCACTACAAGCATCATTCACTGTTTTCTTTCCTTTGACTTCGAGCTGTCCTACATTTCTCTCTCCACAGGGGACAGAGCGGCGTCCGCATCAGTACTCTGTGGTCTGCACTCGAATGGAGGACAGGCTCTTTCCCATACTGTGGAAGAACGGTGTGATGAACATGTCCGTCAGACTCCTCCACACCACCTGGACCGACGGTAAGAGCATCACGAAGCTCTGGATCATCGGCATCACCAACCTGGAAGGATGAAGGTCAAAAGGTCACTTCAGAAAAGATGTGATAATGATTTGATCGCATCTGCAGGTTTTAATAAGCAAGCACTGTTTTCACCTGACGGAGTCAGCTGATCTTCAGGAGAGATGCAACAGAGTTTGATGCATAGTTGAGATGTAAAGAAGACTGCACATAACGTTTATCCTGGGAATTCAGACTTTCCATCTAAAGCTTGAACTAAAATTGCTGTGAATGAACTCTGACGTCATCCACAGATTACTGATGCATATTCTAGAAAATGTTGCCAAGTAGGTTCAGTTTTTAACTCAAAGATGCTGCTGATGGACAAAATTTGGATCTTTAAATCATCTGCTACGTCAACCCTCAGTCCCACTGTGGAAAAAAAGCAATATGAATGTGTGTACAATCTGTAGCTCTAAAATAATTAAAGAGTACGTTGTTGCTTTCTACCATTATCATGTTGCAGTGATAATGGATAATGCTGCAGTTTCACCCTCACGACTGATTCGGCATCTGTGTTGATGCCACCTGTACGTTCAGCCCAGTCATCAGCAGGAAATGTTGGCATTGTACATTTCTGCAAACCATGCAAACATTACATTTGCACCATTCATACGTATCATATCATCATAAGTGACAAAGTGTATGAGCTGACGCCCACAGGTGGATAATGAGACAAAGGGATGCCGGGCGCAGATATGCAAAAGGCCCCACATCTCCTACAAAGGAGCAAGAAACACAGACTTTTTGGTGGTTTTGCATCTCGCTGTTGCTGTTTTTGTGTCTCTTTGTATTTGTTACACATCTTTTTGTCATTTAGTGTCTCTTTGCAGTCCCTTTTGCAACTTCTTTGGTCATTTTGAGTCTGTTCCTGGTTGGTACATGTCTCTTCCAGTGACATCTTGCAGGTAAAGGTTTTGACACTTTGGGCCCCAGGGCCTGGCCCGTGTAGTAATCCTTCCATGCAGCTGCCTGCAAAGCTGCAGACCACTTTTCAAGACCAATAGACAACAAAAGCAGTTGTGATTTATTGAGTCATTGCTGTATTTCCAGCGGCTTTTTAGGCACCAAACTTGGGTTTGTGTTTTGTATAGCGACCCGTTACTGTGTGTCCAGCAGCTTATGTACTGAATCACTGCTGTAGTTCCAGCGGCTTTTTTGGCATCAAACAGGGATGTGCTGTAGTGACCTATTGCTGTGTTTCCAGCAACTTTTTAGCACCAGACACAGGTTTTTGTGGCGACCTGTCACTGTGTTTCCAGCAGCTTATAGTCACAAAAAGTGGGTGTTATTTCCAGAGAAATTCAACATTTCCTGTGGCACTATCCTGTGTGGATAGTGGCACAAAAAGCAATTGTTTTCACTGAGGCCAAGACATGTAAATGTAACGTAGCCATGGTTTGCAGAATTATACATTTCCAACATATTTTTCTGGTGAACAGGTTCTTGAAACTGTTTTTCTTAACATCAATTTAGACCTAAAAAAATCTTGCTAAATATGATGTTATAAAGGAAGAAATAACCTAGAATATATGTCTTGGGTGCATTTTCACTACTTTGTAAAACATTCAGTATTCACATTTTTCTATAACCAAAATATTGTCTGGTACTTGTGTTATCAGTTATTCTGTTACTGTCTTCTCTGTATTGTGGTTTGTATCTCTGTTTAAAAAAGAACTGAATCATATTGTTGCAGTCCTGCAGCTTGTGACCTTTCCTCTGATGTATTACATAAAATAAAAGGGTGTGTTGTGAAAGCTCCTTTGAAGCAGCTTCCCTCAGTGTGATGTCCCTTCCTGACATTCCTCATGTATTGACCATCTCAGCGTCACCACTCAGCCCTCTACTGACAAATACCTGTGGTGGCTTCCCCCCTCCAAACACAGCGGCCGAAGGAATCATCCTGACCTCACCTGGGTGAAAGGTCATGCGAAAGTAACTCTGCAGCGCTCTATCTGTATCTGAAGAATGTCCCACTCTGGTCTGCAAATAGGCCTGTGTGTTGCTGTGAGAATGCCAGCTATCCGGCAAAGGGCACGGGGCGTTTTTTTTTCCACTACCAGTGGAACTCAACATTCCTCCCAACTTTCCATAGAGCGCTTATTTCTGGGCATAAATGTTGTTTCATCGAGTGCTAATAAAGGGACTCTTTGGGTCATGGTTGGGAACATATACGTATCGCTCGGTCTGTGGAGGCACCTGGGTTAACTTGATGCAGGCACATATAGCTGACATAAACATGACATCATTGTCCAAATAAAAACAAAACGCTGACAAAATGTTTCAATGTTAAACTATGTGTGACGTTAACTGTAAAAATAACTTCTCTCAATGTTTACCCAAAGAACAAGAACAAGTATGCTGGCTGGTTGCAGTGGCCCCTGAGGAACAGTCACATAATGTTCCCACAGACGTTTCAACTGAGTTTCTGGTGCTCAAAACAGGGTTTTAAGTACTTAAATAGTATTTTTCATATCTCTGCATCATTGTAACACGCTATGGTCTCACGTTTTCTCAACGTTTCTCAATTATTTTATCTGTTTCCTGTGTCATTTGTTCTTTAAAGAGCACTTTTATCCATTTTTTTTCTGTTATTGTTGTTGATATTTACTGATTGTGAATTTGTATGGCTTCTTTTGTTTATTGTTTTAAAGTTATTAGTTATAATTATTAATGTTGTTACTACGCAGGAGTGTAACTTTGGTTAGAGAAGTAAGGGGGGACACAATAAAAATGGGGGTCTCCCTCTTAAAAAAGGCGTTTTGAATCCCATTACCTTCACTCTTACAAACATTTTGGGACTACAAAAATAAAAAGAAAATCCAGGAAATAATTAGGTTGGTAATCGTGCTAAATTCTGCCAGAATAGCACTAAACATGCTAAATATGCTGCTCCTCTGTGGCATTTTTCTTGGAGTGTGTCAGTCAAAAAACAGCAGCTCAAGTCACATTCACAGACAGAATCTGACAGCTGGCCAAACAGTAGCATAGTAAGTGTGATTTTTGTGGTTTAAAAATAAAGTCTGAGGGACACAAATGGGGCATGTCCCCCTGTCCCCAGTGGAAATGACACCTCAGCTCTTATCAAACTTCATATAATGAACCAATCAGGAAGTTTTATGATGATCATCTTTCCTTTAAGTACTTACTATGACTTTACAGGTTATGTTTCCAGGTTATTTTATGTCATGGCATCACTCTAATATGATGTTTGTGTGTTTTTTTTTTAATGAAAGAAACCCTAATTATTTCCTTTAGGAGCAACATGTGGCGCTGTGCCAGATGAGCCAGGACAGAAGCAGCGGCAAAGAGAAGCCTGCAGGTTGAGATGAACTTCTTCCTACCAGATGTGGATGCAGCTGAGCACCGCGAAGATGAGTCCGAGGATGAAAGCCATGGGCACGGCCAGCAGCGTGGTCAGCAGCCGGTAGAAGATGTATTTAACCAGCTCAAAGGCGGCGTGGCTTCCTATCCACACTTTGTCGAAGCTGTGTGTGGAGATGGGCTCAGCGATGACATCTTCGAAACCAACCTGTCAGATCACACAAGTCGGGGGCACACACACATATAATGAGGTTAAAAAAAATCAGCGCTCACTGGAAGGAAGGTTTTGGAGATGATGGATTAACGCGCAGGCAGCGACTTCCAGGTATTCACGCTGCAGATTACCAATCTCACAGAGTGTTACATGAAAACAATAAGGTCATATAAGATGGTGATTGTAGATAATTCAACATGTGTAGTTTCACTTTCAAAGAGTCTTTCCGCACCGTGTTCAGACTTTACCTTCAAGTGCGCGTTAACGTCGTTTGGATCTCGGTCCGGCTCCTCTGTGTACACTTTCCCCTTCTTCGACAGGATGGGTTCTATCGATCTGTTAAACTCATCTTCGTCCATAAATATACTGGTGTCCGATTTTTCCTTTTCCAGACCCATGTTGTGCAGTGAGACGGACAGACGGTGCAGGGAGAGCAGCTGGTGACGGTGCGCTCTGCGCCGGACTGAGCGGCACCCCGCCCCGTATGGAAAGCGGCGCAGCGTGGGGCCGAGGAGACACAACAGGCTCAAAGTCACATTCCCGGGCCATTTCAAGAGCTCACTGATGACTGGCACTACTGTGCACTGAACTGGCCTCCTGTTATGAGCCATGGAGACTCAGTAGTCCTCGGGGTTTAGTGCCAGCTGTATTCACCAGCCCGCTTCATGTGATTAAGCATGATTAGAACCTGCAGGCTCTTTTTTTATTTTTACAACTGAAGGACTAATGGTTTTAAGAAGTGGTTAGTTAAGTGGAGAGATTTCTCCTTCTAACATAAATAGTTTTGGAAAATGTAACAACCTGCACTTTTGAATTATGGAGCAGAAACACAGTTAACAGTTTCCCCCAAGCCTTTTGTTTTGGAAAGAAACAGCCACATGTTTATTTTCACAACAGCTTGTAACTATAAAAGTCTGGTTATTATTGTTGCTGTAGCTGAACACACTGTTCTACCTGTTGAGTAGATTTACCACAAATTTTCTCTTTGGTCTGTGTGGATTTATTAGTCTCTGGCTGTTACACCTCTGAACACACACCAGCCAACATAGTTAGAATAACTGCAGCTCCTCGGATGCCTAAACAGGAACCGCAACAGGAAGACATTTTCCACAGACAGCCGGTGTTTCACATGATGAAGTACGTGAAGATAGACTAACCAGACCCCACCAGCCCTCAGCAACATATATAATTAATATAACATATAATTAAGCAACACAATTTCCAGAGAACATGTTGGCATTGTGCATGTTTATTTAGCAGATATGTTGAAACTTTACATTTCAACAATAGTTTACTCACAAAAAACAAAAGCACTTGGTCATGCTTAGGAAAAGATCATGTTTTGGCTTAAAATACCCAGTTTTTTGGGGCACAGTATCGGCTGAAAATAGCAGTGATGTCTTGGTAAAAAAACACCTCTTTTCAGGGTACTGTCCCCACTGAAAAAACAGCCACCAGTCATTAAAACACCCATGTTTGTTGCCTTAAAAGTCACTGGAAAAACAGCAATGGGTTGCTAAAAACACCAAAGATTGTTGTCCAAAAAGGCCCCGGGAAAACAATGACATATTGCAATAAAATACCCATGTTTGGTGCCTAAATAGCAGCTGGAAAAACAGCTACGCATCCCTGAAAAAAACACCAATATTTAGTGCCTAAAATAACAGATAACAGCGATGGGTCCCTAAAAACACTGATGTTGGGTTTTCAAAAATCGCTCCAAGCAAGGCAACGAGTTGCCTAAAAGTACTGATGTTTGGTGCCTAAAAAGTGTGTCTTGCTGAGATGTCACACCATCCACCATCCTCTCCATCACTTAATGACAAAGTCAGCTGATATGCTGCATCACTTTAGACATGCTGATATGACAAATATTAAATGTGTCAATGTAAAGTATTAATAGTTTGCATAAAAGCATACAGTGCCAACATTTTGTTCTGGTACCAGGGCTGAATTAAGACTGTGTGAGGGTACAGAGTCATGACACCAAGTGTATGTTGTCCTGTTTGTGCTTGGCGGTGCTATTCCTCTTATTAAACAAAGTATGTATGTCTGAGAATTAGACAGTTTGCTTAATACACATGTGACCTATGTGTGCATGTATAGTGTGTGTAAACATCCCATCACTTTCTTTACACACCATCAACATCCTCCTAAACTCTTTACATACCTGAATGTCACTCTGACATCAAACTGTTGTTTCACAGATTCTGAAAAGATTCTGAATCCAAAAAACAAACAAAAGAACTCAGCAGTCAGATAAAGCACAGCATGCCCTTCTGTAATGTAATGGTGTCGAATCAGAAAGTCTTCCAAAATGAAAATACTCAAGTACCTCTATGCTTCGTCATACAGGAAGAACAGTATTTGAGTAACAGAGCAGATCACACCTCTTCATTATCTGTAGGACAAGGACTAAATTCCCCTCTGACAAGTTTTGCCAAAAACAAAAAGTGATGACGTGGTGGGCCAAGAAGTTGTCTTTTCCATGTGCGGGTAAATGTCTGTGGAGAAGCCTCTTTTATGCATCTCTTGCCTCTAACATTACAGACACAAACATATGAAAGTTTTCAAACTGCTGCAATGACATCAAAATATTTACCAAACAAAGAACATGAATTGCATTTATTCGTGTCCAGTCATGTTTTTCCAGAGCAGCTCTGCCTGTGCAAAATGTTTGTCTTACTAAAAGGCCGAGGCCGCCTGCCGTCCTCTGCACTTTGCATCTCATTTGTTGATGCGGCAGGTCCGGCACTCTGCCTATTGATGAGCAACATGTAAACAACAGCCTCTTTTGTTTAGACACCGGAGCCTGAACATAACACGCAGGGACAAAAAAACTAGGCCAGGACGGTGAGTGACAGCGAAGCAGAAACACAGCAGGCAGAACAAGAGACGGGCCGGGCATTCAGAGCCATCAGGGCAATCGCTGGCCCAGAGCGCAGCGACAATACAACACCACAATACTGCTGGATTAACACACAGAGGAGGATTCTGACAGACAAGCATTCAGTGAGGGGAGACCTGGGCGGCTGGCCTGAGGATGAGGAGGGTGGAGAGGATGGTGTTGACAGGAGAGTATGTGAGTGTATGAAGGAGAGAGCAGCACAGGAAGTCATGGCCTTTGGTTTGTGTTACAGGTTGGATACCAACATTGTGATGAGATTATAACAAGACCTTGGAGGGAGGGTCGTGAGAACTGAGGCAAACAGAGGAGAGAGGGTGAGACACACCTACAGTCAGGTCCATAATTATTTGGACAATGATACAGTTGTCATCATTTTGGCTCTGTACACCACCACAATGGGTTTTAAATGAAACAATAAATACCTGCTTAAAGTGCAGACTCTCAGCTTTCATTTAAGGCTTTTTTCAAAAATGTAGTATGAACCGTGTAGGAATGACAACCATTTCTTCACACAGTCCCCCGATTTTAAGGGCTCATAAGTATTTGGACAAACTAACATAATCATCAATTAAACAGTCAGTTTTAATACTTGGTTGCAAATCCTTTACAGTCAATTACTGCCTGAAGTGTTGGACACATAGGCATCATCAGATGCTGGGTTTCTTCCCTGGTGATGCTCTGCCAGCCCTTTACTGCAGCCGTCTGCACTTCCTGCTTGTGTTTTGGGTGTTTTGCCCTCAGTTTTGGCTTCAGCAAGAGAAACGCATGCTCAGTTGGATTCAGGTCAGATGATATGACTTGGCCATTGCAGAACATTCCACTTCTTTGCCTTAAAAATGTCTTTGGTTGCTTTTGCAGTATGCTTCAGGTCAATGTCCATCTGCACTGTGAAGCATCGTCCAATGAGTTTTGAAGCATTTGGTTGAATCTGAGCAGATAATGGTGCCCCAAACACTTCAGCTTTCATCCTGCTGCTCTTGTCAGCAGTCACATCATCAATAAATACAAGAGAACCAGTTCCACTGGCAGCCATACATGGCCATGACATAACAGTACCTCCACCATGCTTCACTGATGAGGTGGTGTGCTTTGGATCATGAGCAGTTCCTTCCCTTCTTCCTTCTCTTGTCTTCCCATCATTCTGGTAGTTGATCTTTGTTTTATCTGTCCATAGTATGCTGTTCCACAACTGTACAGGCTTTTTAGATGGTTTTTGACAAACTCTAATCTGGCCTTCCATTTTTAAGGCTAACCAATGGTTTGCATCTTGTGATAAACCCTCTGTATTTATTCTAGTGAAGTCTTGTCTTGCTTACAAGAGCAGCAGGATGAAAGCTGAAGTGTTTGGGGCACCATTATCTGCTCAGATTCAACCAAATGCTTCAAAACTCATTGGACGATGCTTCACAGTGCAGATGGACATTGACCTGAAGCATACTGCAAAAGCAACCAAAGACATTTTTAAGGCAAAGAAGTGGAATGTTCTGCAATGGCCAAGTCATATCATCTGACCTGAATCCAACTGAGCATGCGTTTCTCTTGCTGAAGCCAAAACTGAGGGCAAAACACCCAAAACACAAGCAGGAAGTGCAGACGGCTGCAGTAAAGGGCTGGCAGAGCATCACCAGGGAAGAAACCCAGCATCTGATGATGCCTATGTGTCCAACACTTCAGGCAGTCATTGACTGTAAAGGATTTGCAACCAAGTATTAAAACTGACTGTTTAATTGATGATTATGTTAGTTTGTCCAAATACTTATGAGCCCTTAAAGTCGGGGGACTGTGTGAAGAAATGGTTGTAATTCCTACACGGTTCATACTACATTTTTGAAAAAAGCCTTAAATGAAAGCTGAGAGTCTGCACTTTAAGCAGGTATTCATTGTTTCATTTAAAACCCATTGTGGTGGTGTACAGAGCCAAAATGACGACAACTGTATCATTGTCCAAATAATTATGGACCTGACTGTATATAGGTTACAGTAGGTGGTTGAACTGATGAGGCACAGGTGGTTGAATTAACGAGGTGCAGTCCTAATATTTTGGTGGGCATCTGTTCTTCCGTAATCAGATTAAAATTTCCATCTGTGCTCAAGAAATATTAGAGTTGAACATGCAGAGTGCCGTGAATTATACAGAGCACATTCATCAGAGCACAAACTCTTTCCAACTGGGCCATTGAAACTGAACTTAATCATCCTCACAACAAAAGTTAAGCTTCGAACACATTCATTATAGTTGATGTGGGAAATAACACTGATCTTTGCAGAGCACTTTTATGCTCCCAGGTATTTTCCCTCTTGTCTTCTTGCCTCAGGACATTCATTACATCTTAGTGTCACAGCTGGTAAAATACAAAATACATTGTAAACATACCAAACCAATCACCAGAATAAATGTCAGCATTGTTTGTTTCAAACCACAGATTAAATTTTATGTTATTAAGTTGAAACCAAAGACTGTAAAAATATTGAACATAGCTTCCATGACATCATCTATAGGTTCAACCTGGTCTCACTCCACAGCTGGTGAATACTAGTGCTTGGCCAGTGACGTGCGGCGTTAGACACCGACGAAAAAAGCCGTCTTTTCATGTTGGCATGATACACGGCTGGTTGCCATTATTGTTAAACGGTGACTGGTGGCAACAGGGGGAAATGCAATGGGAACACAATGAATGTTAAGGGGGCGAAAGTCTGAGTGAGGCAGGCAGGAGCGATGGTGGATGGGTCCAGCAACTACTGACTTTCACCTGGCAGGCCGGTGTTTGCTTCCCATAAGATGGTAAAGCCAGAGCCTGTTCTT